TGTCTCTGCAGGGATATGCCAACCACAGAACTCTCTGAACTGGAGTGCCTGTGTGTGTACATGCCATTAGGTGGTTAGAGGCATGTATGTTTGCACTGAGAATACTGGGGAATTCTGCTCACATTAGTGAACCACAGGGTTTCCTGAAGTAATTAAATAGCAGAAAGATCACTTCTTCCCAAAAGGAAGGTAACCGAATATTGAAACATCAGGCGGTTGTGTAAAATAGCTAAATGGACACAAAGTTGAAATCCAGACTTCTAAGAAATCCACCTCAGCAAACCCAGCCCATGTGCCAGAGATCATGTGTGTGGTTTTGTGGATTGTGACGGTGGCTTGCTCATGATCACTAATATGGTCTGGCACAAATAATCACTTTGTTACTCTACTTAAGGCAGGGCTGGGGCACGTTAGCAGACCCTGAGATGGGAGAGAGCACGTACCTCCCTTTCTCAAACCTTAAACTCTAAGCCCCGCTACATTCTGTCTTCTGTACTATCCAACCAGTAACAGTCACCAGTGCCAAATCCATTTCTTCAATTTTATGTTATCACCCCCAACAGAATTAAATACATCTGCACTGTTAGAAATACTAGAGCCCTTGGGCTGAGTCAGTTGTTCTCATTTGGAGAACAGGGCTCATTTTATTCCAGGTGAGTAATAAAGATCTGACAAAGAGATGTACTAGAGAACCCCCACCAGGACAGTCTTGTACCTACAGTCTTGCACTGAAATACCAAGCAGCCTGAAATTACCATAGATTAAATAAAAACTTTCCTTTTCTGTCAGAACAGAATCCAGTTCACCAGCCACTAGAATCATTAATCAATGAAGCAAACTTGACATAAAATAATTGAATAATTACCTTCTAAGGTATTGCCCAAAGCCCTGCATCTCTTGATTGCTCTGTTCATTCAGATGTATGAGGGAATTAAAGCTAAATGCATGGGGTTTTTCTTTCTCTATTTTTTTCAGAAGAGCTGTTTGTAAATGTTCCAGTTTCGTTTAAGCAAATAGCCATAAAAGCATATCTGCTGTAGAGTTCAAGAGCCAGATTTCCAAAGGAATTACACACCTGAAGATGCAAACAGTCTTTACAGAGTTTTCAAAAACAGTGGAGGAGGTTAGTCACCTAATCCTGCAGACTCTAGTAGTGTTAGCATGGTCCCTCCAGGGAAAAATACAATGCAAGGACATTAAAGTCACAAAACCATGTCACTGGAACACATTCATGCCACACAATCTCCTGGAGCATGGCATTTTTACAGAATAAGGACAAAGGAATGGCTACTCCAAATTAGTTCAGAGGTCCATCTAAACAACTATCCCATGTCTTAGTAACAGAAGCTTAAGGAAAGAGTATAAGAAACATGCTAGGTATGGAGTGATTCTCAATCTTCATATACCTTCTCAGCAACCAGTGGCTTAGGGACTTCCTGAAGCCCCTTCCTCCTCCTCATTGTCACATCTCATGTTTCCCTATAAGCACTCACAGCTATCTGTAATCACTTGCTCAGCAAAAGGTACAAAAACCTTGCACTATACACATAAAAGCAATGCATTCAGGTAGCACTGTATCAGGAATCACAGAGATGAAACTTGTAGTTA